GATGCCTCCGTAGGCTCCCCGAGACAGCAGTAGAGCTCTGGGGGCTCCCGGGGATGTTCCAGAGCAGCAGGACGGCCCGGGGGAATCGAATGCTTGACTGGACGGGCCTTGTGCTTTCAGACATGAGAGCCGCTCTCCTTTGAGGTCCCGGAGCAGCTTAGTCTAGGTGCAAGCAGGGAGCAAGAGACCAGCACCAGGGCCTGCTGGGTGGGTCACAGGCTGGGCCCTAGGAGACCTGGGTTCTAATCCCACCTTGGGCAAGTCCCTTCACCTCTTCCAGGCCTCAACTTCCCCCTCTGCCGAATGTGGATAATGACACTGCCCTAGAGAAGAAATGAGCTAGCAGCCAGCTCCATTGCCACCCTTCAGCCCTGCACTAGGGGAGGTCCTATTCAGACTCCACATTAGGCTACTGGGGTCCTTCGGTGTCTGACTTCCGAGGGAAAGCACATCGCCGTTCCCTGCCTCAGTTTCCCTATTTGTAACACAGCGAGAACACGAAGGTCCCGGCCTGGAACGCAGTAATCCTCCCCACAAGAGAGCTTTTTAACCCAAGTACAAGCCTTCCCCCTGTTATGAAACAGGGTGGGAGGGTGGGAGGTGGAGGTGAAATTCTCCACCAAGTAAAAACAAACCACACCCCCTCACTGCCATGCTCGCTGGGACGCCAGCCAGGAAGAAGGCCCTATCAGGTGAACAGCTGCCCCCGCAGCCAATCAGCAGGGCTTGGCACCAGCTCCCCCAACGGCTAGAAGCAGCTAGAAAGCGCTTGTTTACTTGGCCTGCTGGCGGGAGGCCCAGCCGTGGCATTCGGCAGAGCGGGCGACTCGGGGGCCCTGGGATCCCGCAGGCGTGGTGGGCAAGCGTCCGGAGGAGATCGTGTGTCTTAGCTACAAGAGCAGCCCCGGGTTTGTCGGTGTCCGAACGGACCTGGGAGCCCCCGGCGGGTTCAGAGTCCAAAGACAGACCAGACCCCCTTCCTACCCAACAGCCCTGGGGCCAGCAGCTTTTTAATCGTCAGGAGAGCGTCTGCAGCAAAGGCAGCCCCCCACCAGGAACGCAGGGCCTCTGCAAGGCCTCTGCTCTAGGCATGCACGCTGGGTTCCTCTCCTTTCGCAAGGCTCCCCCGCCCCCGCTAGATTCTCTGACACGTCCATGTTTTGTGACCAACCCACTAACTCTACAACCTCTCCGGGTTCTTTTACCCAGCAACAGGTTTATTTTGGAGCGAGGTGGTTACATAACAGCACCCTCGCCGCCAGACAAAAGAGAAGTGACGTCACCGGGCACCATGCCAGGAGCCAATCACACGGCGGGGAGGGGGGGGAACAAACCGACAAAGCCCACCCCACGCCCCGAGTGCCTGCAAGCAGGATTCCCAGGGTCATGCGGCATCTGGCATCCTTCAGCTCCCTGTGCCAGCTGCCATCTCCCGAATCCACAACACGCAAGAGAACTGGGCAGCGCCACGGACTAATTCGGTTTTAGTCAGCGCTATTTGGAGAGATTTAGTCCCAAGATAAAAGCCACCGCCGGCCGAAAAACCTTCAACCAAGATCAGGGGACAGCTGGAGTCAGTTATCTGTTTAGTTTGGGGGTGTTCTCTGGCCTGGGAGATCACCACGGACCCTTCTGACCCGGGAGTCTGTGAGTTGCACCATCAGCACAGCGACCTCCTTCGGTTTTAGTCAGCGCTATTTGGAGAGATTTAGTCCCAAGATAAAAGCCACCGCCGGCCGAAAAACCTTCAACCAAGATCAGGGGACAGCTGGAGTCAGTTATCTGTTTAGTTTGGGGGTGTTCTCTGGCCTGGGAGATCACCACGGACCCTTCTGACCCGGGAGTCTGTGAGTTGCACCATCAGCACAGCGACCTCCAGAAACAGGAGGAGACACGGACAGGCCGTTGACTAACCCTGCACCAACCCGGAACCCTC